TAGCGCTGAAGCAAGATAAGACTAGTAGCGGCAAGAAAGTTGACAACATCTACGCCCACAACAAATTGTGTTCTACTCGTGCAAAGAGAACTACGCATAGACCTAGCTCATGATGCCACTGTTGGGGAACGTTGCAGAAAACAACAATTTTCCTACGGTTTCACCAAGATCCATCTATGAGTTCATCTAGCAATGAGTGATCGGATGCATCTACATACCTTTGTAGATCGCGAGCGGAAGCGTTAAAAGAATGGGGATGAGGGAGTCGTACTCGACGTGATCCAAATCACCGGAGATCCTAGCGCCGAACGGACGGCACCTCCGAGTTCAACACACGTACGGTCAGCGTGATGTCTCCTTCTTCTTGATCCAGCAAGGGGGAAGGAGAGGTTGAGGAAGATGGCTCCAGCAGCAGCATGACGGCGTGGTGGTGATGGAGCTGCAGTACTCCGGTAGGGCTTCGCCAAGCTCTATGGAGGAGGAGGGTGTGTTGGAGAGGGAGAGGGAGGCATCAAAGGCGTAGGTGAGAGGTCCTCCATCCCCCCACTATATATAGGGGGGCCTAGGGGGGCGCCGGCCCTAGGAGATGCAATCTCCTAGGGGGGCGGCGGCCAAGGGGTGGGGCTTGCCCCCCAAGCAAGGGGGCGCCCCCCTTTTAGGGTTTCCCCCACCCTAGGCGCATGGGCCCTAGGGGAAGTGGCGCCCCAGCCCACTTTGGGCTGGATCCCTTCCCACTTCAGCCTATGGGGCCCTCCGGGATAGGTGGCCCCACCTGGTGGACCCCCGGGACCCTTCCGGTGGTCCCGGTACAATACCGATGACCCCGAAACTTGTCTCGATGGCCGAAATAGCACTTCCTATATATAATTCTTTACCTCCGGACCATTTCGGAACTCCTCGTGACGTCCGGGATCTCATCCGGGACTCCGAACAACATTCGGGTTACTGCATATACATATCCCTACAACCCTAGCGTCACCGAACCTTAAGTGTGTAGACCCTACGGGTTTGGGAGACATGTAGACATGACCGAGATTGCTCTCCGGTCAATAACCAACAGCGGGATCTGGATACCCATGTTGGCTCCCACATGCTCCTCGATGATCTCATCGGATGAACCACGATGTCGAGGATTCAAGCAATCCCGTATACAATTCCCTTTGTCGATCGGTATGTTACTTGCCCGAGATTCGATCGTCGGTATCCCAATACCTTGTTCAATCTCGTTACCGGCAAGTCACTTTACTCGTACCGTAATGCATGATCCCGTGACCAGACACTTGGTCACTTTGAGCTCATAATGATGATGCATTACCGAGTGGGCCCAGTGATACCTCTCCGTCATACGGAGTGACAAATCCCAGTCTTGATCCGTGTCAACCCAACAGACACTTTCGGAGATACCCGTAGTATACCTTTATAGTCACCCAGTTATGTTGTGACGTTTGGTACACCCAAAGCACTCCTACGGTATCCGGGAGTTACACGATCTCATGGTCTAAGGAAAGGATACTTGACATTGGAAAAACTCTAGCAAACGAACTATACGATCTTATGCTATGTTTAGGATTGGGTCTTGTCCATCACATCATTCTCCTAATGATGTGATCTCGTTATCAATGACATCCAATGTCCATAGTCAGGAAACCATGACTATCTGTTGATCAACGAGCTAGTCAACTAGAGGCTTACTAGGGACATGTTGGTGTCTATTATTCACACATGTATTACGATTTCCGGATAACACAATTATAGCACGAATAAAGACAATTATCATGAACAAGGAAATATAATAATAATGCTTTTATTATTGCCTCTAGGGCATATTCCCAACAGCATAATCTCATAGTCAGAGGAATATGTATAAGTCATGAAGAAAGCAATAGCAATAAAACTAAACGATTATTATGCTAAGATAACAGATGGGTCTTGTCCATCACATCATTCTCTAATGATGTGATCCCATTGATCAAATGACAACACATGTCTATGATCAGGAAACTTGACCATCTTTGATTAACGAGCTAGTCTAGTACAGGCACACTAGGGACATTCTGTTTGTCTATGTATTCACACATGTACTAAGTTTCCGGTTAATACAATTCTAGCATGAATAATAAACATTTATCATGATATAAGGAAATATAAATAACAACTTTATTATTGCCTCTAGGGCATATTTCCTTCACAAGGGACACAACGTCTGGATGACATATTGATGAATTTGAAAAACTTTTTGAACACCCGGTTAGTTTGGATGTAATATTTAAATATGAACTTTTGTTGCATCAGGATATTTGCATGTTATTTATGGACAAATTGTGTTATTGCTCTATCGTCTTATAATTATTTTGAGTGCTCCAGACACATGAAAAAAAAAGCAGTGGTGAATATTTGATGGATAGGGTTGAATGGCCGGCTCCCGTATCCGTATCCCTGTATTGTAAGCTCGATCTTGGGGATACCGTTGGACATGCCCTTACCACTAGCAAATAGGTGATGCATTCGGTAACACATTGTCGCCTTTCTTGCCAGATATCTTAAAAAATGGTGCAATGTATTTAGGTCTTTGCCCTTGCAACCGGAATGACTCCCAAAATTTGGCTCTAGTTCCATTGCCAAGCATTACCTTAGTAGTCGTTCTGAAGAGGTCACGATCACCATTGTTGCATGGCGTTCCCATACAACACCAAGGCCTAGACGGGTCATCACAACCAAGCCATAACCATCTTAACCAAAGCGCCGTGGCGAAATTGCCAAGATTAAGAATTCGCAAACCACTATACTCCTTGGGCTTGCAAACTTACTCCCAATTTAATTTTGTACTTGCCATCGTTCGCCTTGTCGGTCCCTGCCCAAAGATTTGCTCGCCTCGAGCTTTCAATATTGGGAGGTCGAGTGGTGTAATATGGTAATGACCACCGCACCGCCATGAGTTCCGTCTTAACCAAAACGATGTGACCTACATAACAACATGCTGCTGCCCAAGGTGCTACTTTTCCTGGTGCTTTTTATCGTCTAAGGGTTGCAAGTGGATCCTCTTTAGTCTTTTGACCATATAAGGCGAACCAAGGTACCGGATGGGGAAGGATGAGCGGCATGTCAGGAAGGAATGAAGGATGCCATAAAGATCAATGTTATATTTCTACGAGATCACTTGCTATAGGATGATCTTTTATGCTCCTCCATAAAGGTTAGAAAAACAAAAAATATATGTGCTGAAGATTGATTATAATAGTAAACCCCCCTATGAAAAACACAATCATTAGTCGTCCAACTGTCCAAGATCATTCGCGAGGGCGATAATGTTTGTCGTTGCTGCCTCCTCTTCACCTAGTTGCCCTTAGCTCTAATAGCCATTCTTACGTCAAGATGGAAGAGGTGAGAGCAGTGGCGGAGCCAGCTATCTGGCAAGGCCTAGCAGCTGCCACACCTAAATTTCAACCAAAGGTACTAGTACACCTACGTGTTGGACATGGACCTGATACTACAAGTACGTAGCTGGTGGGGATGATGTAAAACTCCGCCGAACAGAGCACAAGTACACGCAGGATAATAGAATATGGTACTTAAATTTGGATTTTAGTTGTATTTGCGAAACACAAAGTATTTATATATCTAATATTCTAGGCAGTTTTTGGTCAGTTGCATTTTACATGCTTTTCTCCTTCATAAGCTCGGCCACACCTGAAAATTATTTCTGCATTCGCCACTGGGTGAGAGGAGATAGGGTGACTCGGCATCTCTTTTTGTCAAAAATATTGACAAAATAAACTTCGACATCGCATTGAATGGTGGTGGAGAGTCAAGCAGCTGATATGCTCGACGTGCAGCCAATATCTTCTGTACTTGATTATCTCGAAGTGGTGAAGCTGGTTCTGCAGGGTGCATGGCTAGGGGCATCTGAAGTGGCCGAGGGTTGTTGTTGCTCTTCCAAGTGGTTGGTTTGGAAAAAGCGACAAGAGCGGCCTTGATTCGTCAGTAAGAAAGGCATCCATCCCATTTATATTAGTTAGTTATATCAATTTTATGTAGCTCCCTCCGTCCACTAACACAAGGCCATGTGGCAGTGGATGGCTAGGTCATTTTGTAAAGAAAAGGCTAAAAGAGTTGGGAAGCATTCAATTGATGAAGAAGAAGAAGAAGAAGAAGAAGAAGAATTTGGTGAGGCTGTCTATCTAAAGCAGGTGTCATGTAGCAATGCAAATCAAACAATTTCAATGCTTCATATTCTTATCGTCTGAATTGAAGCTTCATTGGTGATTTCAACCTTGATGCTCCTCTAGTTAGATAGTACATACTGTAACGTGTGGCAAATCCCAAATCAAACAGATGCTCCCTGAAATAATCAAAACCAATAAAATTCCTTGGGCAGATATCAGATTCGGGTTTTGGAGAAATTGATTTGCCCTCCAGCATAAGCCTCATCAACCAAATCTCTGCCATCCGCGACATTGAAAATTCAACAGATATTAGGTGCAATGCAAACTGGATTTTTTAGGGCTAGAAAAAGGGGGTGATGGCATGGAAAAAGGTGGGTAAGAAGAAATGGTGATGGCAGGGTTGGGTTGGTACCAAAACACAAGACTAGAGTTGAAGCACGCAGCAGCATGGGAATGAATGAATAAATGGGGGGAGTGCGACCCGGCCGAACGAAGAAGGTTTGGTTTGGTTTGGCGCACCCACACTCCCGGTTCACTCACTGCGACTCGCACCGCTCCACTCCACTCTCCCCAACCTCCACTCCCAAATCTCGTCTCTTTCTTTCTTTCTCCAGGCGCACCGGCGCACCGCACCCCCGCCGGGCCCTCCCTCCGTCTTGGTCTGCCCCAGCCAGCCAGCGAGGGCGCGAGTGAGCTGCACAAAGAGAAAGAGAAATTCCTTCCCCAACAAAGAAAGAAAGAAACGCGCGTATAAATCCATCCGTAGGCCAACAACGCCTCCTCTGTCTTTCTCTCTCTATCTCTCTCTCTGTCCCGTCCCGGCCGGGGGAAGAGGCCATGGAGATATTCTACTACCTTGTGTTCGGGGGCCTGTCGGCGGTGGTGGCCGGGCTGGAGCTGGGCAAGAGCGGCAAGGACCGCGTCGCAACCCCCACCGCATTCAACGCATTCAAGAACAACTACGTCCTAGTATACTCCCTAATGATGTGTACGTCTTTCTGAATTTCTCTTGTCTTCTCTTCTCTTGAGATGTGCTGCATATGTATGCCTCAACTGATTTCGGATTGGTTTCTGCAGCCGGCGACTGGCTTCAGGGTCCCTACGTGTACTACCTCTACAGCCAGTACGGGTTCGACAAGGGCGACATCGGCCGCCTCTTCATCGCCGGATTCGGCTCATCCATGCTCTTCGGAACCATCGTAGGATCACTAGCAGACAGGCAGTACGTTTTCTTTCTTCTTCTTCTTCTTCTTCTTCTTCTTCTTCTTCTTCTTCTTCTTGTTTTCTTTCTTCTTTTCCATTGGGATTCATTGATTGATTAACTGACTGAAAAACAAAACAAAATCTTGTGGAAAACATAAAGGGGCCGCAAGCGCGCGTGCATCACCTACTGCATCACCTACATCCTCAGCTGCATCACCAAGCACTCCCCGCAGTACCGGGTCCTCCTCCTCGGCCGCATCCTCGGCGGCGTCGCAACCTCCCTCCTCTTCTCCGCATTCGAGTCATGGCTCGTCGCCGAGCACAACAAGGTTTGCTTCTTTCTTTCTTGGTTTGTACTCCACTTCTTGGTTTTAAACCCCTACTCCCCAGTCAGTGTGACCATCACTATCACTGTCAATCAAATCGAAATCAACTCAACCCACTGCGAATGCTAGCTGCTTTTCATTTTCAGCTGCCTTATATCTTTAATCCACCAAAGTATGTATGTCTTGTTCTATATCCACAAGGAAAGGCATCAAGCATTAGATTGTGTACTACACTACACTAGTATAATGGCACCTTTGGAATGTGTCTTGTGTTCCTACCTACCTACCTACCTACCTACGTAATGCTGCTACTACTTGTGGTGAATAAACTACTACTAGTGATGCTAAATACTCCCTCCGTAAACTAATATAAAAGCGTTTATAATACTAAAATAGTGATCTAAACGCTTTTATATTAGTTTAAAGAGGGAGTACTAAGCAGAACGGATGTTTGACTGTTGACTGCCAATGCCATGCCACAAAGGGAAGGGCCATATAATAATATAATTATGACTGTTGTTTTAGAGGTGTTGAAAAAATTAATTGGAGGATCATGATGTATGTGTTCCTACACTAGAGGAGTAGGATGAGGAAAACCTCACTCACTTTGTCAGGATCTGAAACAAACAAAAAAGACTGAATCAAATCTTGCTCCCCTGCCTGCAAGCTTAAATGAAATCCACCGTCTTTTCTTTTCTTTTGTTTTGTTTCATTAGTCAGTTACCTATCTTTTGTTGTGTCGGTGGAAGGAATAGATAGAGATGAGGAGATGAGATGAGGTGGTTGCCGACTTGCCATTGGCATTTATTTATTTAACAAAGGAAGGAACCATGATGGCCCAGCTTTCTTAATAAATAAAAATAAAAGCTCTTCATTTCTTTCTCTGGGCCAAACTGGGCTGGGACTCACAATTGTCCTTTTATTCGCTCTCTCCTCTTTTCTCCATGTGCTGTCGCTCGCTGGAGAATTAATGAACATTCAACTAACTCAATCATCCATCCTAACCTACCAAGAGAGAGAGAGAGAGAGAGAGAGAGAGAGAGAGTCCAAGGATGGATTCAGTACAGTATCTGCGGCATGCATGTGACACACCATTTATTTATTTAGTCTTCTTCTTCTTCTTCTTCTTCTTCTTCCTCCCCTAATGTAATGGGAGGAGCTATTGTTAAACAGCTAACCATAAAGAAATCCATGTCATTTGCAAATTGCCAAATTATGCATTATTGTTATTGTTATTATATCTTGTTGATTTCTACCTACCTTTTTGCAATGTAACAAGACTAGTAAGTATTATTCACCCAACCTTTTTGTTTGATTTCTTCTTGTCTTGTTTCACACACCACACAGAGAGGCTATGACCCGCAGTGGCTCTCCATCACCTTCTCCAAGGCTATATTCCTCGGAAATGGTCTCATCGCCATTATAGCTGGCCTCTTTGCTAACCTGCTTGCTGACAACCTGGGCTTTGGTCCTGTGGCTCCTTTCGATGCCGCCGCGTGCTTCCTGGCAATTGGCATGGCCATCATCATGTCCTCGTGGACTGAAAACTATGGAGATCAATCTGAAGGCAAGGATCTCATGTCTCAGTTCAAGGTTGCCGCCAAGGCAATCGCTTCAGGTATGCTCGTTGGCGCTTCACTTCATCCCACCCACTGCAACGCAACACAACATTATTAAACGTGTATATATTGTAAACTTAGAAGAATTCGCATTCTAACGCTCATCACAAATCTCCAGATGAAAAAATCGCTTTGCTGGGAGCCATTCAGTCGCTGTTCGAGGGCTCAATGTACACCTTTGTCTTCCTCTGGACTCCAGCCTTGAGCCCAAATGACGAAGACATTCCCCATGGTTTTATATTTGCAACCTTCATGCTGTCGTCTATGTTGGGTAGCTCCATTGCATCACGCCTATTGGCCCGCAAGATGAAGGTTGAAGGCTATATGCAGATCGTGTTTGCAGTATCAGCCTTCACACTTTTCCTCCCAGTTGCCACCAGCGTAAGACCATACTCTTCATTTCTTTCTCTGCCTTTCTAAGATAGATTACTTCTTACTGATAGCGTTTTCGCATGTGTGACGTGACAGCTTCTGGTGCCGACGTCTTCAGTGAAAGGAAGTGGCATCTCATTTGGGGGCTCTCTACAGCTGCTTGGTTTCTGTACCTTTGAGTCATGCGTCGGCATTTTCTGGCCATCCATCATGAAAATGAGATCTCAGTATATTCCTGAGGAGGCAAGAAGCACCATCATGAACTTCTTCCGCATTCCACTGAACCTGTTTGTCTGTGTGGTGCTCTACAATGTAAGCAAATATATTCCTGTGGTGCTTCACTTATCTCCATCATTGTTGATAAACATTATGTTGCAGGTGAATGCTTTCCCTATCACCGTCATGTTTGGCATGTGTTCAATCTTCCTCTTCATGGCGGCAATCTTGCAGAGACGGCTCATGGTTGTCGCTGACCTACACAAGCTATCCACAAGTAACTTGTCTTTCCTTTAATTTGTTCCAGCATTCTAGTCTGGTGCTTTCCACTACTGGAAAATTCCTTTTTGTCAAGTGTTGGCGTCTTTTACCGAGTGCTATTCGTCGGGCATTCGGCAAACATATCTTTGCCGAGTGTCATCGAAAAAATACTCGGCAATAAGGCGAAATTCGGTAAACAGGTGCTTTGCCGAGTGTAGTGGACAAAACACTCGGTAAAACAGTGGTACGCAGCAAAGAAAGACCTTTGCCGAGCGCTACACTCGGCAAAAGGGTGTTTTTCCCGAGTGTTGCACTCGGCAAAAGGGGGTATTCACTTCGCTGCATTGTTTTCGGCGTCGAGATTGCATACGACCTCGGATGAAGATGATCCAAAAAGCAAAGTTGTTCATTTTGACAAGACGAATAATCTTCATGTTGAAAACTTTTTTCATTTTAGGCCATATTAATTACTCTTTTTCCCATGCCAAAATATGGTCTCAGATGCCCAAGGTGATGGCCATATGCATTTCATAGTTTATTATAATGTGCCCATATTAGACACATAGGCGCATCTTGCCATTACAAACAATGTGGCCAAGTAGATTTTCGAACTTTTTTGTACAAAAAATTATTTTTCACTTTCTGAGTGTCAAAATGGTATTTTTTGTGAAGCAAGTACAAAAAACATGGTGCAAAATGGCACCACTCCAATTTTCACAGTAAGTAGACCTTATTTTATACACAATTCCCAAGTTTAATGGGTTTTCTAGATTTCTAACTACTTTTGCAAATTTAAATTACTTTATGTCAATTTCCCGAAAGTAATTCAAATTTGAACTACACATGTGTGATAGCTCTGTCCTCAAAATTAGCAAAAAATATTTTTAGGTACACAAGTAGTCATTATATGGAAGAACCACTCCTTTGGTTTGTAGGATTTTTGTAGGAATTCTATAGGATAGGATTTGCAAAGGAAATATTCCTTTGAAGCCCTTTGGTTTGTAGGAATGGATTCCTATTCCTATGTAGGATAGGAATCAATCCTTCACGTTTTGGAGGGAAAAAAATATTAGCCTAGACTCAATGGAAATAATCCTATCCTATGCATCAAATGGCATCTTTTTCTTTATAGGAATTGACATGCATGTCATCTCATTTCCTATGATTTTCCTATTCCTATAAAATTCCTATCCTATGAACCAAAGAAGGCCTTAGAGTTTTGAGAGATTCAACCCCTTACCATGAATAGCCGTGACGACTATTTTGACCTCGTTTTGGAAAAAATGAAAGAAAACAAATACAAGTCAAAAAATGCAATCCTTTCGCATGGAGTCTTTTTATGTGCACTAGTTGCAAGAAAAAATACCAAGCTTTCAATATGACAAATTTGAAAAAAATTCCTTCACAAAACGGGCTATCACGTATGAGCTTTGATGGTTTTCAAGCCAAATGACCAAGGTGAAGTCATATTCATTGCATAGTTTATTAGAATGTGCCCAAATATGGTTCATATAATGCTTATTTCCATTAGAAACAATATTATCAAATAGTTTTTCTAACTTTTATGTACAAACATACCATTTTTCATTTTCTAAGTGTCAAAATGGGTACTTTTTGTGAAGCAAGTACAAAAACCAGGGTGCAAAACAGTACCACTCCAATTTTCGCAAAATTATACCATATTTGATGGACAATTCCCAAGTTTTATGGATTTTCTAGATTTGTACCTACTTTCACACATTTAAGTGACTTTATGTTAATTTCTCTAACGTAATTCAAATTTGAACTACAAGTGTTTGATAGCTCTGTCCTAAAACTTAGCAAAAAATAGTTTTAGATGCACAAGTAGTCATTATATGGAAGAACTTCTTAGAGTTATTAGAGATTCAACCCCTTGCCATGAATAGCCACGCCGAATATTTTGACCCTGTTTTGGAAAAAATGAAAGAAAAAGAATAGAAATTCAAAAAATGTAATCCTTTCGCATGGAGTCCTTTTATGTGTACTAGTTGCAAGGAAAAATACCAAACTTTCAATATGACAAATTTGAAAAAAAAATCCTTCACAAAACGGGCTATCGCGTATGAACTTTGATGGCTTTCAAGCCAAATGACCAAGGTGAAGTCATATTCATTGCGTAGTTTATTAGAATGTGCCCAAATTTGATTCATAGAATGCTTCTTGCCATTACAAACAATATTATCAAATAGTTTTAAAAAAATAGTACAAAAATATCTTTTTCCATTTTCTAAGTGTCAAAATGGGTATATTTTGTGAAGCAAGTACAAAACCAGGGTGCAAAACTGTCCCACTCCAATTTTCACAGAAATTAGACTATATTGGATGGACAATTCCCAAGTTGTATGGATTTTGCTAGATTTCTACCTACTTTCGCACATTTAAGTGACTTTATGTTGATTTCTCGATGGACAATTCCCAAGTTGTATGGACATTTAAGTGCATGAAAAAATTAGATAAATTGTTCTGATAAATCCTATTTGTTCTATTGAGTGCATACTTGGACCTTATCCAGGAAAAGAAAATGAATTTCAAACATAAGAATGCCGAGATATGGCCTCGAATATATAGTTTATTGGTTTCTAAATTTCAAAAAATGCAAATGACGTTGAAAAGGCTTGAAAAATGGCATGGTGCCCCCATATGACATCTTCAAGGCATGGTACAAATTTGAGAAGATTTTACAGATTAATTGATATGTAAAATATGAGAGAAAGATGATAAAGAAAACACACAAATAAGCACAAAAGGATGCTTCTTTCCTATTGGTCAAACACCAGACCACATGGATCGGTGACGTGGCGCGGCCATGCTGCACCCCACGTTCGCCTTATCCTAGAGATGTGGCGCAGTGTCTCTCATCTCTTTCGTTGCTCTCTCTCTCCCTTCTCCTCTCTCTCTCTCGCTCGTTGGCTTGGGCCGAAGAAGGCTGCCGGCTCCGCCTACCCAGCAGCAGCCCTCGTCCGCCTCCGGTGGTAGCGACGCCGGCAGCAACAGAAGCAGATTGGTGGTGCGAGCCCTCGTCGAGCGGCAGCAGCACAGCCCCGACCGTCGAGCATCTCTTCAACACCCTTCTTCATCCCGAGCGGCAGCAGCAGTAGCGCTCCGGGCAAGCAGGCCCGCGCGTCACCGGCTACGCGGCCAGGCTCACCTCGCGCACACACATCGATAGAGGTTGCGCTCACCCAACGCGCGGCAGCATTGAGGTAGGCTCGTGTCCTACAACGCCGAAGGAGGCAGCTGCTCCGTGCCCAGCTCTGGGATTTGACCACCATTGTATCTGAGATGGGATTGGGTGGAGCTTTTTTTTTGTTTGTATTAATCCCCTTTACCGAGTGGTGCTCTCGGCAAATCACCTGTGTCACGTGGCTACGCCGCCGTCTGCTCCGTCCGTCTGTTCACTTTATTTCGCCGAGTACTCGCATTTGATACCCGGTAAAGTCTTTGCCGAGTGTCCGAGAAACGAAACTCGGCAAAATTCTGTTTGCTGGAAGGCTGTATGCCGTGTACGCTTTGCGGAGTACAACACTCGGCAATACCTTTGCCGAGTTTAAATCGGCCTTTGCCGAGTTTTTCGGGTACTCGGTAAAGATGGAAATTCTGGTAGTGTTCTGATCAATGTATGTATGGATTCAGAGTGTCCCTAACTGCCGCTAACAACCATATATACTTATTGGCAGAATCACAAGAGATGACCGCGCAAGACGAGCTTCTAAATCCTTGAAAGGCCAACACACTCCCTCCACCTGACCTAGGTGCTGAATAAGATGGAATTGGGGAAAGCAAGATGTTTTGATTGTAATATTTCTTTTTTCTGTAGCGTAGATCAGATGGATATTATTATTGGCTAGGCACGAGGAGATGGATGGATGGATACACCAAAGCTATATATATTATCAGTTTATTATTGGCTGCTGAGTGAATTGGTATAGTCTATTATTTTTATGATTTCTGCTCTTGTTGTTCATCGGGACGGCATTATTTGTCTTCAATACGCTACGAGTATCTTCGTCCAAGCTATATATATTATCAGTTTTTGCTAAAGCACATCTAGATGTGTCATAACTATTATATATCTAAGTCCTATGTCATTTATCTTACCTTGAGATTTATGTGGGTATTTTTTTTTTCTTTTTTTTTTCTCTTTATACTTGATTCACTCACTTAGATGTGCAATAACTAAAGCACATCTAGATGTGCCCTAAATCTGAGTGAATATTTATCTATTGCGAAAAAGAAAAGAAAAAAGTTTATGTTGTTTTCTGCTTTTTTAATACCAACATAAATTTCAAACCTTTGAATTTTCATTGTTTCTAAATTGCTGCTGCTTCTTTCATTTATTTAGTCTATGT